TCACCCTCCATCAACTCTTTCTTGGCAAGGATATCCTTCATCCCCTTGGAGAACCTCTGCTGCTGCCCCTGTGACTGTCGTCAGGTCGCCTGCCTCCTCTCTACTTCTTCCCTCTTGACCCTCTCCTCTCTTGCTCCCAGCTGCCTCCGCTGCCTCCGCTGCCTTCCTCCTATCTCCCTCACCTTCTGGCCCTTCTGCTCCTCCTGCTGCTTGTCGTCCATCGTGATCTTGGCCCCGGGCGTGAGGAAGTAGAGGATGTGCCCCATCGGAAGCAGAGAAAGGACGGGAGCAGTAGGATCCCCGTAGCTCCTGAATGCTTCAAGCAGCAGCGTCAGGGATGAAGAAAGGAAGGAGGAGAGGGAGGGAGGGAGGGAGGAAGGGATGGAGATAAGGGGGGGACGGTGGGAGAGGCAGGAAGGTAGGTTACCCGCGCCCACTCCTGCCTTGCTAGCAAACCTCTCGTTCGCATCCACCTCACTCCCCAGCTGCTCGATGTGCCTGAGGTCTGTCGGGCTTGACCTGCGGCGAAGTCGTGAGTCGTTTAACCGGAGCAGGATCAGGATCAGGAGCAGGAGCAGGAGCAGGAAAGGACGGAAAGGAGGAGCAGGAGCAGGAGCAGGAGCAGGAGCAGGAGCAGGAGCAGGAGCAGGAGCAGGAGCAGGAGCAGGAGAAGTCTACAGCTCGGGTGCCCAAGGGGGGGTCAACTTCTTCTCCAGGAACTTCTGCCATGGGAACTTCTTGAACCAGCCATGTCGCATGATTTCTTCCTGCATGCCCTCAGTGAGCTCGGACTCGAGACGTGGAGGAGATGACAGGGCCGCCGGCTCCGAGCCTGTTCCTTCGATCCTTGATGAGCAACTTGATGATGAGATCCCGTGATAGAGGCAGGATGCTGGTCTGCAAGAGATGATGAGAGACTGGAAGGGGATGCAAGGGGAGGAAGATGTGGTGGTGGTGATGATGATGGTCATAAAGAAGAAGAAGAAGAAGAAGAAGAAGAAGAAGAAGAAGAAGAAGAAGAAGAAGAAGAC